CTGGCGGTGGCCCACAGCGGAGGCGAGCCCCCGTCACGCGCGGTCACCACCAACTCATAGTCAGAGGTGGTCTCTCGGTCCAGGGCGCTGTCCAGGACTAACGAATAATAATTTTTGAAGGTGGACACCAGCTTGAAGGGTGTGGCAGGAGTCAGGGAGCAGGTCACCTGCCCATTGACCCCAGAGTCAAGGTCGGACACGCTAATCAAGGCAATCACGGTGCTGGGCTGAGCATCCTCAGGGACTGAGAAGGACAGAGAATTCACGATGATTTTAGGGGAATTATCATTAGTGTCTAAGATTTCTATCCAAACGGTACAGTGACCGGCCATTGGGGGAGTCCCCTTATCTGTGGCTTGCACTTCAATTTCATAAAACTTATTTTCTTCATAATCTAAAGATCCATTGACCCTCATTTCTCCATTATTTTCATCTAGTGTAAATAAGTGTCTTCCATTGGGTTTGATGGATAACAAGGAGTAGGTTACCTCGCGGTTTACTCCTTCATCTCTATCCGTGGCGTTCAGCTTTATCACAAGAGTTTCTTCTGGAATGTTTTCCATCAGCTTTACTCTATATTCTAACTGATCAAATTCCGGATCATTGTCGTTAACATCCAAGACTTGAACAAACAGCTGAACTGTGCCTGTCAGTTCCGGTTTTCCTCCATCGGTAGCTGTCAGTAGCAAATTAAATTCCGGGATTTTTTCTCTATCCAAAGACTTTTTTAATACAAGGGACAGTCTTTTCGTCTGCTTACTATTTGTTGGTGACTCCAGAGAAAAATACTCATTTTGACTCAGTCTGTAGGCCAGCACCGCGTTCTCTTCTATATCCGCATCAGACGCGCCCTCTAGCGGAAAGCGGGACTCGGGTTGCTTAGATTCATAAATCAGCAGCTTTTGTTCTTTGAGAGAGAAGACCGGCGGGTTGTCGTTAATGTCCTTCACCTCCACCTCTACGTGGAACACCTGCAGCGGCCTGTCCACGATCACCTCCAGGTGCAGGCTGCACTCCGCGCTGCGCCTGCACAGCTCCTCCCGGTCGATCCGACCATTCACAAACAAAATGCCATTCTGCAGATTTACCTCCAGAAGGTCCCCGCGGCCCTTGGACGCCACCC